TGGTGATTTGATGGATGGGAAGAGCTAAAGGATAAAGAAGACCTTTCAAAGGATAGTTTTTACCCTGATAAAATATGGACAATGAATTTTAAATATGCTTGCCGTTCTGCAGTTAGAATGTGTGGTCATAGGGTGGGGGATTTAGCTCAGCAGTTCGGTGGCCTGCCTTGCCAGCGCAAGGACCCGAGTTCAATCCCAGGTACAAAAAAAAAAAAAAAAAAAAAAAAAAAAAAAAAAAAAAAGAATGTGTGGTTGTAGATTACTAGAAAGACTGGCTTCATGATGTAGGGTGAAAGGGGTTAACACAGGGATATATTACAGCTAAAAAGACAGAAATAACAAAGAAATTGTGAGGGCAAAGTTAAAAACAGTGCTTATTGAAGATAGACTAAGAAAACAAAAATTCAATAAATGTTGGGAAAGAATTGAGACTGGTTAAAAGATTAATTTTTAAGTGCAAGTTAGATTTAGGATCTATCAAAGATCATGGCATAACCTATCCCAGTTCCTTTTTTATCACCCATCTCTCCCTTCCCTCTTCCTTCCCTCCATCTCTTGATCTTCTCCCCTTTTGGGAATAATGGATCTCCTTACTTTATATAATTCATCTTTTATTTTGCTCTTTAGTTTTACTCTGGGTTTCTCATATAAAAGAAACAATGTGATATTTAAGCCTATGTGTCTGATTTATTTCACATAGCATTATGGACTCAAGGAGCATAAACTTTCCCACGGCAAACATTCACGAAAAGAAAGAAAGAGAAGGAAAGAAAGAAAGAAAGAAAGAAAGAAAGAAAGAAAGAAAGAAAGAAAGAAAGAAAGAAAGAAAGGAAGAAAGGAAGGAAGGAAGGAAGGAAGGAAGGAAGGAAGGAAGAAAGAAAGAAAAGAAAAGAAAGTGAAAGAAAGAAGGAAAAAGTGAGGACAAGGAATGGTGGAACAGGGAGAGAAAAGAAGGGATGAAACAAAAGGATTTAAGATAAATTTCTATGCATACCAAGTTCCAACAAGGAATGTAAACTTTATGTACTACACACATGCACTAATAAACTAAATTCATAAAAAAGTTATCAAAGGCAAAATGAAAAACTGAAGATTATAATCAAAAGGAAAGAAGTAAATCCAGGAATGGCAGGGAAATTATCCTAGTAAAGTAAGTATTTATTGTCCTAGGACTACCTTTAACTGACTATTCATTTTTTTTTAACCTATAAACATTGCTTCTAGTTCCAAATGACACCTAAAAGCATTTATTTCAAAATGAACGACTTGAGCACAGCTTTCTCTTTGGAGACACAAAGATTACTGAATAAAAATGAGAATAAATTATCATATAAACAGAATGAGAGCAAATCCTAGTTTAATGACATAAAATATAAAAGGCTGATGAAAATTATTAACAAATGAAATAGTAAGGCATAATGTAAAAGAAGACAAGGACCATGGGGATGAAGGAAGGTGGCAGAGAGTAGGAAGGGTGTGGCATAAAGAGGCTACGTCCATTGTTCTGTAAAGTTCCCTGGCTTTCATCAACACTCCTGATGAGAAAAGTTTGCTTGGTATTTAGACCTATGGACATGTTTTTCAGACAGGCTCGTGCTATGGTGCCCAGGATGATCTTGAACTTGTGAATGCAAGTCATCCTTTCACCTCAGCCTCAGAGTGCCTAGGACTACAAGTACATACCACCATACCCAGCTTCCTATCTTTGAAGACAAAGAAATAACTTTGCTGACAATTGGGGAAAATATGATAGTTGTCAGTATCTCAAACTATTGCTTTCTCTGTTTTGACAAGCCTAGTCAAAACTCAGTACTCATCTGAAGCAAAGAAGCTACACTCAAGGAACGCAGTCTGTCAGATAATCCTTTTTCAGAGAAAAAATACTCCCCGACACACACAAACAGAAAACTGAGACAAGGAGCTGCTGCTTTTCATCACTGATATTTTTAGACAATGCAATTTTTTCACAAAACAAGCATATTATACACGTTCCTAAATATTTGCAACTCACCTGCCACAGCTTCACTTTCAAGGAAATGGCTTGGGATAGAGAGGATTGCAAGGAGACCAAAATGCAATTATGGAATTAAAATCTTCCTAAACATGTATTGTCAAGCCATTGACTTTCAGGTTGCGACTCCTTACATGTAGAGGTAAAGGAGAAAGGGGTGAAAAGGATGAGGGAAATATTACAAACAGATGACACAGGAAAAGATCACATTTTTAAGAGAAGAGTTATTTTGAAGAAATTGAGGGAAAACACAACAAAACAAAAAAGCTAGGATAAGCAGTAATCTTCCTAAAAAAATCTGTTCAAAGTTAGAAGAACATAGGTTGTCTTGAAAGCAGCAGAAATAAAAATGTATATAGAATTTTTTAGAACGTTAAATGTCAGTGCAAATGGAAAAATATCTGAAGCATCCAGAATTCTGTAATTTCATAATCATGTAAGCTTTTTTAATGTCAAATGCATAAAATGATTATCTGGGATTGTTACTCATTGATGAAATAATATGAGCTATTAATACATGAGAAGACTTGGAGGAATACTAAAAGCACATTGCTATATAGCTAGCTAAATTTCTTAGGAACAATATTTAATCTATATGGCAGGAACTGAGCTTCTACACAAAGCTAATTTTTTGAATATCATCGGGAGAACAGAGTTTTCACTTAACATTTCTATGCTTGATGTGCTCTTCTCTCATCTCCATGAGATGGATCACTAGGTGGGTACCTGACAGCAAAAGGACTGATCTGTCTTGCCTCCTTTCATCTAATCGTCTTTGGTTATGCAGTGGATTTACTTCATTAGCATTTAAATATCTTTATGTTAACCATTAAAGATGTATATTACTTGTATATTTCAACAGATTGTTACATTTGATTCAGTAAGCAAGAAAGTTGACTATTCTTAATGTAAAGGTGAAGTTATGAGAGTATTAAAGTCAGTGTCATTTGATTCTTGGAAGAAAATGACAAATGCAAGAGTGGTAGCTATAAACTAATACATGAAATTATGTTTCTAATTAATATTTCTATTTTTGCTAATCAAGTATAAAGTTTATTTCTTTAGTTTTGAGAATACAAAGTAATATTTTGTAAAACCATGTAAAAGAAATAATTGCTCATCCCTGTGTTTTAAGGACCCTAGCAGAATTGAATCTTCTAAATATTAAAATCTACTGACCTCTAAACAGCTTGGCTATAGTTTGTTTTCAAAGAATAAATTCTTATTCAAAAAAGAACAAGTATCAGGCCAGGGATTTGGCTCAGTGGTTCCACAGCCTGCGGTACAAGCACAAGGGCCCAAGTTTGATCCCCGGCACCAAAACAAACAAACAAACAAACAAAAGAATGAGTATTTATTTCAGACAAGACCAAATCCTTGTAGTCATTCCTGGTCTTATACATAAATAGCAATTATCATATTTTAAATAGCTTAAAAATTTCATTATCTGTTAAATTATGAAATGTTACAACAGAAGTAAACTGTCTAACAACAGCAAAGGCACTAGGGCCAATTATTTTTCTGCAGTTTTATTAAGATTATATTTTAAGACTATATGCTTTTAAAATATTCACTGATATTTGAAATGCAATACATTTTTCTTTTTAATTTTCAGTGAAAAGAAAGCAATACTTTTGAATCCCTGATTGTGGAATCCTTTAAGAAATCTGCTAATTATTGATTATATTTCTTGTGATTCACTCATATGACAACTGCTTATTTTTTTCTAAATCAGCTAAAGTTAATTTCTTAATATAGTGATAGGGATACTTCACTCTTTCAATTTGATAAAGACTCTTTATCATAAAGAAACATAAAGATAAATTTCTTGCTTTCATTTGTATATTATACCTCTGTAAACTGTATTTTTTTCTCAGCATGATAATCGATGTTTTTTTTCCTGTGATTTAAAAAATATTTATGGTGGAAGCCTTCAATACAAATCATAGGATGCAATCTGCAATTTAAATGTTAAACTGAATTTAAAATTGAAGCAATGCAATACATATTTTTTGTCATAAATGCCCCAAAATTTTCCTTCTGTGTGTTCTGCTTGCTAGCTATTCTTGATATTTTTTACTCCTCTCTAATTCTTCCACCATTACTAAGAAATCCTTTTATCTCTCACAAAGAGGACAATGAATAGTAATTTTAAACAACGTTTTTGTTTTTTCACCTTCAACAATGAAAAAGTTTAACCAAATCCACTGGATTAGCTTCATTATCAACTAGAATGATATTCAAAACAGATTAAGTACATTGAGGTTTAGGGGCAGCTTTCTAGTATTTTTGTTCTAAAATTAAATTCCAGGATATTATGCTTCTGGATAGGTCAAATGTTAATTGTCTAAATATGTTGATTATCATTGTATTAAACACAAGAATGAAAATTGGTCTTCTGATTGATTTTTACCTTCTTTCCTAGAAATTCAGGTAAAACGTATCATTATTAGTGAAATGCTTTAAACATTAAGAGTGGCTTTTTTGTTTAGTCCTTCAGAGCTGATTCTCTACAATATGGAGTCCTCTTGTGGGGTGGAAAAGACGAGAGGTTTAACTCAGTGGCAGTGGGCTTGTGTAGCATGAGTTTAGGTCTGGGCTCAATTCTAGTGCCGCAAGAAAATGGCAAAAAAAGATAACAATGTTTATGATTAGCCCTTAAAGGAGCTTTTATTTTAGTTTGTAATGTAACAGATAGGTGAATTAAAGAAAAGTCATATACAAACATGTGTATTACTGAAATAAATTGCTAAACCAAAAATATTGCCTATATTAGAAAGGGAGGAAACACTGCTGATCTATAGGGAGCACATTAAAATATCTCTGAAGATGAGACAAGCTTTTCCCTTTTAGATCTATGTGACTAATAAAATATTTGAAAAGTAATAGGAATATGGCATTAGAGTTTCTGATGGAGCCAGTTTTAAAATTTCTCGGGTTTAACATTTTTTGAACAGGTGTCATCTGAAGTCGTACAAAGAACAGTTACCTTTAAAATTAGGTCTGATTCTGGCATCATACCCCGATGTCCTCCCCATTAATTTGTCCAGAAAGTCTGACGGTGACATTGGAGTACTTCGGGGTCTTGCACTGTTTGTCTCCTTCGTGGCAACCAAACTACAATGAAGAACAAAATGACAAACTTTACAAAAAGCAGTTGAAAGACTGCTTCCTTGAAATATAAAATTAAATGTTAAGCCAAAATACCTTTAATAATGAAGAGAACTTTAAATGCTATACAGTTAACTTTATAATAATAAGACAGACACTTAGGTGTTTATAGTCAGAATTTATAAAATTTCACATCCCTAAAGTGTCATTGTTTTGTGGAAACATAGAAACAAATTCTACTCCAGTTAGTAGGCTTTCAAAATCTGTATTTACTCTAGTATCTGTTTAAAGTTTTTAAAATATCCTTAGTGTTTGAGGCATGAGAAAATATGAAAATTGGGCTGGAGTTTTAGCTTGGTGGCACTGTGCCTGCATTGCAAATGCAGTCCTAAGTTTGATGCCCAGTACCTGAAAAAATACATAAATAAATAAATAAAAGTTGGATATGAAATATGCTTGTTGCTTTTTTTGAGGAAGGGGAAAATCACCTTTTGTTTTTAAAGATGTTTCTCTGCAAAGGATGCAATCTGCAATTTAAATGTTAAACTGAATTTAAAGTTGAAGCGATGCATATCATAATTTTCATCATAAATGACCAACAAATTTTACTCCTATGTGTTCTGCTTGCTAACTGTTCTTGATATATTTTATCCCTCTCCAATTCTTCCACCATTACTAAGCAATCCTTTTATGTTTCACAAAGAGAAGGCGAATGAATTATAATTTTAAATACTTTTTTTTTCACCTTCAACAATGAAAAATGAATCCAATGGATTAGCTTCATTTTCAACTAGAATGATACTCTAAACAGATTAAGTACACTGAGATTTAGGGGAATATGTGCATATATGCAATAGATTCAACAGTAATATTCTTTCTTTCTTTTTAATTAATTTTATTGGTACATTTAATATATACAATATAATGACATTCACTGTTGGAAATCTGTACCTTTCTTTCTTCAGTTTAAGTGCTTTTGGTGCTAGAAACACACCCCATTAAGTTCATTCTGCTCTCACATATGTTCCAATTATCAAAAGTACATTTTGTTAAGATCTAAAATGTGTGTGTCAAGATTGACATTATGTATTACGGTACATAATGCTTGAGCACCTGGCTGTTATGTCATTAGAACGTGTGTCCCCAACACTTAAAGTCTTCCTGTGTTCTTTGCATTGCAGTACTATCCTTTTCATGCAGCCGTTCCTCCTAGAAACCATTCTGTGGCCACACTGTTCTCCACCCTCTCCCTTACCTGGGCACACGAAAGGCCTGGGCCTGCTAGCTAAGATCTGATGATTCTCTTTATAGACAGAGCTTTGCTCAGAAATACTAGGCTGTTTGTGAGCACACATCGTTTGAACCTCACATGATCAAGTCAATGTTATTTCCTGGATCTCATCAATTTTCACACTCTCCCAGCTCTATCACTCAACTCAGTGTACTGCTAAACCTTAACTACTTCGGTCACCACTTGATCAGAGCACCATCAAATTATTAAACTTCTTGCATTTTTTCCTGCCAGAATTTTAGTGGTTAAAATGGACTTTCAATCATCAATATTAATTTGTCTATCCTATAAATATATACAGTACACTTTTTAAAACCAGTCTCAGTGATAATGTGAGCATATTTCCAAAATCACCACGTGTCACAAAACCAGTGCCTGTTAACTAGTGGTTCTACCTAGTTTTGGGCACTATATGACATTTATCTTCTCAATGTCTCCCATTCTGTTTTTCTTGCTTTCTTCCCAAACAAAAGCTTCTCCTCTCTCTTTTCTGTCAGTTCCATATTATTTTATGACTTTCTATTTCTGATTATTACTGATTGCTTAGCCCAACTCCCCATCGTTGTGATTACTTAGAAGTTTTTTTGTAATGTAAAATATTCTAGTAATAAAAGAAAAAAAACCCTACCATCTTAGTTTCTCCAGTTTTCTCTCTGGTTGTAAGTAACATCTGTTTTTATTAAGGCATTGTTAGAGCTTTCCAAACCATTCCTTTTATTTTCTTTGTCAAATGTCTCCTTTCAGTTATCAGAAAATAAGCTTCTATTTTTGCTACAAAGGAACATACCGAGTTACTTATAATGTTCTGCCTCAGTAGTAGTCTACTGATCTGAAGTCCTCACACTGTGCTCTGAATAGAGGAATTGTCCAGTTGGGTGCTTCAGGCAGCAAGAAGTACCCTTATAAGGGGGTAGCTGGAGTTGGACTCCACATTAGACATGAAAACAGGCAATATGACAACAGAGCCAGAAATTAGAGTAACCAATCACAGAAATGTCTGCAGCCTCCAGAAGCTAGAAGAGATAAGGAACAGATTCCTCCTTGGAGCCTTTGGAGAGTAAAGAATTACACCGTGTCTTTGAGCCTTGAGGAGTGATTTCAGACCTTTTACCTTTCAAATTGCAAGAGGATAAATGTTTGCTGTTTGTGGGAATATTTTTATAACATTCCTAGGAAAACAAATGCTAGCCTTCTACTGAATTTTCAATTTCCATTAGTCTACTTTTCAAATTCAGAATTACTTTATAATTTTTGTCATAATTTCTATGTTTGTTGGTATTTTCTGTCTTTTGAGATTTTGTTGTACTTTCTCTTTAGTTCTCTGGACTTAATTTCCTTTACTTCTTTAAGTATGTTTTAAATAACTAAATTTTTTACTTGCAATTCCAGTGTCTGCTTCTTCAGGTAAGTTTCTGTTGGTTGCTTTTCTAACTGTGCATGAGCTATGCATTTTTGTTTCTTCACATATCTCATAACTTTTATTAAAAACTGGACATTTTAAACTATATAATATGGCAACTCTGACAATTATATCTCCACTCAGCCTAGAGTTGTTGCTTGTTTTATACATTGACTTTTCTACACAAATTCCCTGAAGTCTGCACTGACTTGCACATACAGTCATAGAACTATTTTCTTGCTTAGATTACATAGCAACCAATAATTGGAAAGGGATTGTCTTTCTTAACATTTAGGCTGGTGATTCTTCTAGCATTGCAGGGAGCTCTGTGTTCATGGTGTTATGCTTCACACTGAATCAGGCATTTGGCAATTTTGTTTCAGCCTTTACTTCTACTTGCACAAGGTCTAAAGGTCACTATGAGTTGAGAGGACCTTCTTAGGTCTTTCCTGATTCTGCAACTATCCTGATGCATTAGTTTCTTAGGTCTGTCACATCAAAATACCAACAATAGTGAGCTTAATAACAAAACATAATTTTCTCTTGCTTCTGACATTATAAGTCTAAGATCAACTTGTCAGCAGAATGAGGGTCCTATGGGGACCTCCTTCCTTGGCTTATAGAAGCCCATCTTCTTTCTGTTTCTTTACCTGGTCTTTCCTCTGTATGCGTGTGTTTATTCCCATTTCCTCTTCTTGTACAGTCAGCACTTACCCTGAATTTAAAACCACTTATGTGACTTTATTGCATCCCACTTACCTTATCTCCAAATAAAATCACATTTTGAGCTATCAGGGGTGAGGACTTCAACACATGAATCGGGGAGACACGATACAGTTCGTTATAACACTGGACCTGCTCACAGCTCTCCCTCTCTGTTTGACCTCCTAGCTACCTAGGCATATGCGGAGCTTTCCCAACATCTTTAATATGTAGGTCCATTGAATTTCCAGTCTGATTTCACTGATACACACAACCTGAGGCGATTTTGAAGAAATTTTCTCTAAGTGTTCTTGAGATCCGCCTCCAAGAAGAAGGCCTTTTACAGTGGATGAGCTCCAAGTTCCCCTAAGTGAAAAAAGCCTGCAAGTGAGTTCTTAAAGAGAAGCTCCAAGCTGTGCTCATAATTACGGTTCTCTAATAATGAAACTGTAAAGAGTCATGCTCCATTTTCCCACTTGTGGCAGCCAGGTTGCCGTTTGGTCTTGCAAATGAGCAATGTTAGATTGCAATGTAACCACGAGCTGGAGAAGAGGAGAGAAGTAGAGTAAGTTATAAGGCCACAACTCCAGTGTTCTTACCAAGAGACAGATATTTTTCTTGACTGAACCGTTTCATGGATTGCTGCAAGCCTAAAATTAATTGCCAGAGTTCTGAAAAATTTTATTTTTCTCAACTTTTGCCCATTTTTTCACTGCATTTATGAAGAAAGAGAATTTGCAGAGGTCCTATCCTCACTATGTCCCCCTAGACTTCTTTTCATATTTGTTTTATTATACTTTTGCTCAAAGAAGCACGATTCTCACAGGAAATGATACTATTTACTCCCACACAACAGCTACTTCTCATAATAGTATTGTGTAGACTTTTAAAATTATATCCTTTCCCGTAAGTAATGTCAAGATTTGGCTATAAAAGAAAGGAGGCAGAAACTACTTTTAAGATAACCAAAGAATGAATATTTGAAATTTATTAGTTGATTGAATATCAGTAGATAGTCTATGTGATTGTTATTTTGGTGGCAGCAATAAAACAGCAATTTTCTTTATCTCTCAAGGGGAAAAAAACCCAGAATATTTATATCAACATACCAAGTGTTGCCAATTCGTCATTTCAAAGTTTCACTACCCATTTTTTCAAAAATACCAAATATTGTATAGCACACACACACACACACACACACACACACACACACACACAAAGCCAAAAGAACAAGACCAAAATAGAATTGAGATTCCCACTGGCCTGTATAATTTTGACAAAATAAAAGCAATTTTATTTTTTAGGCAGATAAATGCTAACTTTTACTAATAAATCTTTTTATTCATAAATTGTTATATTGCAAGAAGTTTCTGTCTGTTCCTTAATAGTTTTTCTTGACTCATTTTTAAAGGAAGTTATTTTTGTTATACTCTGACGTCAATGGTAAGATGGTCTGTGAAAACCAAAAAACCACATCTTCTTGTCTCATGTTAAGCATTCATTTATACACTGCAGTAAGCTACTATTACAGTGTGATGTTTGAATCCATATGAGGAATAAGATATTAAAAGTATAGACTGGCAGCTATAGTAATAGCTTTGAACTGTAGCTCAT